GGGGACTCTCTGGGAAGCGCATCCCCAGTGTCCTATCCTGGCAGAGCTTTGCTCTGGCTCCCAGCTCCCCCGCCTCCAGCATTTCCCTCTTCCCACTGAGCACTGTGTCTAAGGAACCCACTTTTCCATTTTTACTTCTTCTCTGTGACTCTAGCCAGAAATCGTAATTGCAATGTAGGGCTTCTAATTTTCTGCTTCAAAAACTGACAAAGCTTACAGTGAGCCACTGAGAGCCACTTGGCTTTCATTTCACAGGTTGGAAAACATGCATGTGCTCAGTGGCTTTCACAGGATGCCACTGTGAAAACCTGATCCTCCCTTCCATCCTTCTCTAGGTATTCCCAGCATGGATCCCTCATTCTGGTCCTCTGCTTACCAACAGGCCACTTTAAAGCAAGAGTGGTAGGAGCTAGCTTTCATAATGTCGTTCTGAGAAACCAAGAGCAAATGCTGACAATGTGACTGTAAATATCTGCATTAAAAGCAGCTCTGGGGGCGGGTCATAGTGGTATAAGCCTTTAGCCCCAGCATTTGGGAGGCAGAAGCAGGTGGATCTCTGTTAGTTCGAGGCTGGCATGGTATACAAAGTGGGTTCCAGGACAGCCAGGACTGTTACACAGAGAAACCGTGTATTAAAAAACCAAAATCAAAACCAAAAAAAAAAAACAAAAAAAAACCTTAAAAATTAAAAAAGGTGTGGCAGTTCTGGGAGGTTTGATGGGTGAAGTGCTAGCAGTTTTCAAAACAAAAACATTTAAAATCAAAAGTTAAAATTGGGGGCAGCAATTCATTAAAAAGTCACCTTCAAATGAGCCTTCAGACTTAGACAAAACAACTCATGAACAATAGAGCAAAAGGGGTCCCCCCAGGAATTCAAAGGAAACAGCCCAGAGTGAGTGAAAATTCAAATTCAAGATCACAGGCTATCCCCTGACTGGTTAGGATGGAGCAATGTGGCCTAGAATGACCCTTTTGCATTCCTACAGGAGAACCAACAGTGCAAGCCTTGTCCCAACCCTAAAGAGCACAGCCTCTAGGCTGTATACCTGGAAGCAATTCTGACTGCAACACCCCAAGAAGGAGCCCTGACAGAGCAATGACCCCAAGGACAGAATCTCCTAGACAGGCAGAGCACCTACAGGGAGACGGATATGGAGGTAAGGCAATGGTGGGCGGTGTCCTCTCAGGTCTATGTCTAAATACCAAACCCAGCTACGAAACCCTGACTCCAGAAAGAGCAACTTTTGAGAAGGAAAGATTCACAGCCTACACCTCACACCAAACTGGGAGCCACTCTGGTTTCCCTAGAACTTTGTGGTCATGCTCTGGGCACACAGAACATTGAACAGGGACCATGCTCTGGTCACACAGAACATTGAACAGGGATAAGGCTCTGGGCACATGGGACATTGAACGGGAACCCAGTGCAGCCACACCTGAGAAATAGACTCAGCCCTACCTTGGTCCCACCTCATGATTGTGAAGGTCAGATAAACCCACAGGCACAGCCCTGTATGGAAGGAAGAACAAAACATCCTCAGAAGGAACAGAATGATGCTCACGTGAGCAAGGACACACTCGGTGTCCCCCCAACCTGCAACATTCTTGTCCCAGGAAAAGGTGTCCCCTAAGCACAGGATAAACTGGTCAGGGCAATAGATGGCTCAGTGGGGAAAGTCTGACTGCCATGTCTGACTTCCACTTCACACAGTGGAAGGAGAGAAGCAGTTCCTACGCACTGTCCTCTGACCTCCAACATGTGCACAGTAACACACATGCATGTACACGCACAAGCACACCTGAACACATGCAACCAATCTCCAGAACCAGATGTAGAAAAGACACAGGTAACAGAGCAGGCAGAAGCCTGTGCGCACCCTGGCGCCCGTGGATGAATTTAAAGCATAAGATTACGACTGTCAGAGAAACGGGAGGCTTGGGCGAAAACCGAAATAAAGAGAATCCTTGACCTTAAGCATCAGCATTTTGGACACCACAGGGAAGATTTAATCAACTGAGATCTGCCCAAGCCTAAGCAGGGCAGGGAAGAAGCCTGAAGACGAGCAGAGAGCAGCGACCTGGGCTCCAGCAGGCCAAGCTAGTCACACCAGAGTCAGAACTGCAGAAGAGGGTAGGAGCTGGGGATGTCCCATTTGTCACACACACACACACACACACACACACACACACACACACACAAAGTTAAGTTCAACAATCAAGAAGCCCCAAATAGAACAAACACACAAATGCATACACAATCATAAAAAACAAATAATTTAAAGATTTAAAAAAAAAAGCCTCAAAAAGCTGCAAGGGAGAGTCCTCCCTGTGCCCAGTAGAAACTGTGTATTCTTTTTTTTTATTATTATTATTATGTATAGAGTTCTGCCTGCATGTATGCCTGTAGGCCAGAAGAGGGCAGCAGATCTCATTACATATGGTTGTGAGACATCATGTGGTTGCTGTGACTTGAACTCAGAGCCTTTGGAAGAACAGGCAGTGCTCTTAACTGCTGAGCCGTCTCTCCAGTTCCCAATTGTGTGTATTTTCATCGGTAGCCACCACCACGGGGCAGGTGACAGGCACAAAGACCCTGGATGCTGAGTAGCCTGAGCACCTACTGTGTCTAAGATGTCGATCCTGTTTGCTGGAAGTGACCATGTCACACAGCACAGTGGGTTGTCAAAGTGCTGGCAACTAAGGTCCACACTGGAACCATTCCCTACTGAAAGCTGTAAAAGTCACCAGGAAGCCACCGACTAGGTGCTGCTTGACCGTAGAAGAGTGTCACTGAATGTCCCCACATGCAGGCAAACATATACCACAGAAGTCCAGAAAAGGTAGCACTTGGGAGCTGGAGCCCCCTCATCCCTGGCGTGCCTCTAGTTCCTCCTAGTGGCAGAGCTCAGCACTGTGCTTGCAAGAAAGGACAAACCTTGAGGGGCAGTCTCCAGGGTAACAGCACAGCAGGACTGGTGCCCAGGAGCTGAGGGCGGAGACACTGAGAGAACAAAGTCAGGAGAGATGACACCTACAGGCCAGAAGCAAGGTAGTGAAGCCTGAGGAAAGAAGTGACTGTCAACTCCCAATCTAGAACTGTATCTAAGGAAAGAGGAGCTACAGAAGCCATTCAACAATGGGATGTCCAAAGTCATGACAGCAGAGGCTCAGCTCACACAGCCATATGATCAGAGGGGACTGTGGAGTTACAGGAGAAATGAAACCAGAGAAAAATCTCCAGGATCTGGGATTGGATGAAGAATTCTCACACTGAGCATCAAAAGCAAGGTCAGGGTGTAGAGAGATGGCACGGCGACTTATACAAGAGACTTCAGCATCTACAGAATTGGGTGTCTTGCTGTCATGGAAGCGCTGGAATCAATCTCCTGCAGACACTGATGGATAATTCTGCAGTCCACAGAAAGTCTTCCCTGTGGACCAACAGGAGGAACTTGGATACTCACAACAGATCTTTCTTACTGGCCAACATTATTTGTTTTTTGAGACAGGCTTTCTCTGTAGCTTAAAGGCTGTTCTGGAACTAGCTCTTGTAGACCAGGCTGGTCTCGAACTCAGAGATCCGCCTGCCTCTGTGCTCCCAAGTGCTGGGATTAAAGGCTCGAGCCACCAATGCCCGGCCCTATTAGCCGCCATTTTAAACCAGCCAGTGCCTGTGGATAGAGTAGTCTAGTGTTTTCATAGGTGGAGCAGCCAAGCTGTGCCATGTGTACATCTCAGGCTTCGGAGAGTAATCGGAAGTCAGTCCCGCCACCAGTGTGAATAGGTAGTGGGGCAAGGGGATGTGGCGTCTCAGCAGCTGGCATGTGCCCTATTCCTGAGGACACGTGTCTGCACATATGTGAGTCCAAGAGGTGAAACTCTAGCATGTACATTCCACATGAACTTCAGCTATGCTCACACGACCTTCCATTATAATGAAAATAGAACTATGAATACCACCACATGTATTTAATCAACAACAGGTGGGGCAAAGTACAAGGAACACCTCTCAAGCATGCCATAGAAACGAGTGTGGAAGTAAGGAATGAAGAAAAATTCTAACGGGTGGGGGAGTACAGACACCAGGTCAGAACTGACAAACGAATAGACTGTGCTGTGGTTTGAATGAGAATGCCCCCACAGGCTCACCTTTGAATACTTGGTCCCTGGTAGAAGAAATGCTTGGGAAGGACTAAGACATGTGGTCTTGTTGGAGGTGTCATTGGGTGTGGGCTTTGAGGGTTCAAAAGGCTTGTGTCACTCCCAGTGGGCTCTCTGCCTCCCACTTGTGGATGGAGATGTGCGCTCTCAGCTGCTGTGTTCCTAGACCCAACAGGTATGCTGCTGAGAGACATCCAAGGTCCCTGGTGTGCCTTGTAGGCTCTGAAACAGCCACATAGAGTGATGGGGAGTCCTTGTGTCAAAGAGATGAGACTGGGGAGCCTGGTGACTGTTTCCTTATGGCTCTGATGTGTCACAGAGCCAAGCAGCAGTAACAGTTGATGGCATGTTCTGTTACCGTGCTCCACTTCTCTCCCTAAGGTCGTGGCGTTCAGGACTTTCCTACTCCACAGCGACACCATTACATCTGCAATTGTCCCTGGCCCCAGTGATCTGTGTCTGGGTGTGTCCAGTGGAAGTGCCATAGTCATGTGGGGTGGAGGTCTTCTGTCTTCACAGCTGCTCTTACTCACCAAGCATCCCCCAGCTCAGGACTGTTTCTACTGGAGCTGGTCTGGGACACAGGATAGAAAGTAGTAGAGAGAGCTGTGACACCTCTCTCTAACCATCATGAGCCGTGTCATCTGAACAGCAAACTCATGCTGAGTCTTAAGACCAGCTTTGGAGCTGGTTGGTGGTGGGGCACACCTTTAATCCCAGTACTAGGGAGAAAGAGGTAGACTAATCTCTGAGTTCAAGGCCAGCCTGGTCTACAAAACTACAGAGAACCCTGGCGGGGGGCGGGGGGGGGGTGAGCTTTGGAGGCCGCTGATGCAGAAAGCTATGCAAAGTTTGTCTTTATTGATTCTGTGTTTGTGTTCTGCAGTGTGCAGAGTTCAAAGCGATGGACCCCATCACCAGTCATTCCCTGGACATCAAGGTCTGGCCAAGGTCACATCTTTATACGTGTGCCCTGTAGCAGGCCTGCTCCAGCACCGATGCCAGGCCTGCTTGAGACTGAGGCCCTCACCATGTGTGGCTTCGTGAGTACAGAGCAACAGCAAGCAGCTCCATGTGAGCCATTCTGTGCACACCAATGGCGTGGACACAGGTCCTGCTCGCAGGACTCCTAGAGACGATCTGCGGGCAGACAGACAGATGTATGTGGTGCTGCAGGTCAGTGTATCCTTCAATGTGAAGGTGCTTCCACAGCGCTATGCAGAATCATTAGCTAGGCTAACACACCACGTCCTTCCTGCCACTGGGAGGCAGGTAAGCGGGAGGCTGTCCTCCGTGACAAAGACAGTTGTGGAGCTAGTAGTGGGGACTGAGCTGCCATGACCTCCCTCTCTCCTTGTGGATGAACCAGGCAGGAGGGAGGAGGGAGAGTGGCCCATGAGGCCTCAGGGCTGAGAGCTGCTGCCAAGCTCAGGGTCAGCAACCAAGGGCTGACTGCTCGGAGCATGCCTTTTTGGTCTGTTCTGGGGACTGTGGGAGGGGGCTCCTTTGTCGCTTCTTCTTCAGCTGCTGCTGTAGTCTCTCTTCTTTCTTCTTCAGGTAAGAGGTCATGTTGTCAAAGGTGGCCTTGTAAAGACTGCGGAAGCCATCATCTGCACCCACAGAGCCTGTGACAAGGACAAGAGATGCCAGGTGAAGTGACTTGGAACATGGTCCAACATATTTCCTCTCACAGTATGGCCTTGGGAATTCTAACTTCCTGACACCTCACAGACCTTGAGGCTCATGTGACCTTACCACCTGGAATCCATATTCAGGCTGGCCCACAGACTGTGGTGAAGGGAAAGAGTAGAGGTGGAAGGAGGGACAAGGTCTTGGCTGACATCCTGTCCAACCATCGACTGAACAGGGACAGAGCCTGCCCAAGGGGAACCTGAGACCAGCCAGTGTCAGTCAACAGCAGGTAGGCACCCTACAGCACCCACAGGAACCACAGCAGTGCGTATGGCTCTGGGTAGTGACAGCAGGCAGCAGACTTCCTCTATTGTTAATCTGATGTGTACTGGCACAGCCTCTCAGCCAGTCTCCCTCTGGTGAGGCACACGCCAGAGACAGTGGCCCTGTGCCGGGTGTGGGTCCCTGACCTCTCGCAGCCAAGGCCACTGCTCAGGGTAGCATGGTCCCCCTCCCTGCCCTATGCTCACGTGCCCCCAACTGTGTGTGCACTATCTCAGAAGCAAAGCCAGGCTTTGGCCTGAGTCTACACCAGGTAACCCTCAACAGAACCAGACTGAGCAGTGGGAAGCCAGCAAATGGTTCAGCAGGAAGGCACCAGCCACCACCTGACAATCTGAGTTTCATCCCACATGGGAAAAGATTCTGAAGAGGTTGTCTGAGACACATAACGATTACACTTAAAAAGCTAGTCAGGAGTTCCTAGGGTGAGCAGCCCAGGTCCACCCAAAGGACTGATGCAGATTTAGTCTGGGCCAGAAGATGCAAACCCTTCCTTACTTTGTCCTGGCTACTTTTATGTCCACTCAACACTAGCTGGAGTCATTCTGAAAGAAGGAAATCTCAACTAAGAAAGTGCCCCACCAGACTGCTCTGTGGCGAGTGAGCCTGCAGGCTTCAGAGGGCAAACACCCCTGAAAGCAAGTTTCAAATCAGATCCTGTAGACTTTAGGAACCCTAACTTCTACAGAGAATTGGTTTTGCACAATTTTTTTTTTTTCTGAGTAATTGTTTCATAAAAGACCAGGTCTGGGTGCTCCTGCCTGGATGACCATTCTCTGTCCAGTAAATCCAACAGTGGTCACCTGCAAGCTCCACACCAACCAGGACACAGGGCCCCAAGTCCTCACTTGCTTCTCACTGCACTTGCAGCAGCAACACACGCTGGTGGCCTGTAGACACACCTTCCTGCACCTGCACATTCTGCTATGTCGTCTCTGTACCACAGACTAACAGTTCTCACCTTCTAGCATGGCCCAGCTCTCACGAAGATGGCTGCAGAGTCTCCTGGACACAGCACCTTCAGGAACAGCCTGCAAGTGACAAGTAAGCAGGGTCAGGACCAAACCAGAGCCCAGAGATGGCAGGCAGAGACCTAGCAGGGCCCATCCTAAGGCACAGGCTCACTATCTCTTAAGGCTAGTCAGATAAAAGCCTTCAGCCCCAGCAGCTCAGCACAGGAAGCCGAAGCTGACTAGGAGCTCCTGGTGCTGTCCCCTCTCACCCACAGCCTCATGCGATTGGCAAGGATGTCCCCACACTGCGCCATCGCATCAGTACTCAGCAAAGTCCCTGCACAACAGAAGAGCAGCCCTCATCAGGCCTAGTGCTGGCTTCACCAGTATGGGATGGGGTGTCAGGCAAATGAACACCCCTGCACACAGGAAAAACTGCCCAAACCAGGGCCCGGACATGCTGACGAGCACCCAGGTCACTTCCCTACATGAGGCCTCCAGTCCCAGCTGCCTCAGGACCTAGATGTGATCAATCTGAGGTTCAGGATTGTAAGGGAACCACAGCTATCCACCTGCCAAACCCTGCCACACCTCCACCTCCACCCCACCCCATCAGAACAACAGGCTCGGTACACGGCGATGCTGCACATACTCACCTGCCACTGACCACCCACAGGCCTCCAGAGCACTAGGGGAGCGTCACGACAGTCCTGCAGAACCCACAGCCCCTGCGAATCCTCAAAGACGATATCCCACACTCGATGAGGGAAAGTCAGCTGCTGTCTGAACACCAGCTGCTGTTTGCTGGCATCAAGCTGGAAGATGAAGACCACAGGAACGCTTTGCAGGAGAGAGAGACTGGTCACCACTGCAACCGCAGGCCCATGGAGGCATTCCATACAACACAGCTTAGCACCAGGCCTGCTTCTACCACCCTGGACCCTGAGCCAGAAGCCAAATGAATCACCCAAACCCTGTGAGATGGTATTTGTTTGCTGTCTTGAATCCTACCCCAAGAACTAACCAATACAGGACAAAGTGAAACGGCCACCCCACCCTAAGTGTATAGACCAATGACCCCTTTGGGGTTCAAAGGACCCTTTCAAAACACATGTTTCTTTACATAATGATTTATAACAGTAACAAAACTGTAGTTATGAAGTAGCATTAGGAAGGTCGAGAACCACTGGTAAAGAGGTCAGCCTCTGAGGAGCTTCTCTCTCTTCTCCAAACCTATATTCTCATTCATAAGGAGAGCTAGGAGCTATCTTAGGAGAAAATGCAGAGCACCAGAGATCTACCCTGGTATTGAGAAAGGGCAGAAAGAACCCCTCAATTACACCTTGCCCCTCAATCTGCCAGATGGTGCTAACTCTTGGGCATATTCCAGCAAGATCAGTTCTGAGTGGAATTGGCCTATGGAATCTCCTGCAACTACACTTCAAAACCAATTAAGTAGAAGATGCCTCTACTTAATTAGAGGGCCCCAGCCCCCTCCCTGAAGAGTAATCAGCGGAGTTAACAGAAGACACAGCCACAGGCCGCTGCCAGTGAAGCCTGCTGTCTTACCACTCACACAGAAGCACTACGCAGCTCTCTTGTCCCCAGAATGCAATCCTGGATGCAGCCAACCCCTGCAAGAAAAAGCAGCTATTTAACCAGGCTCTGCTGGCTGGTCACCATAGGGGAAGAACACAGGCATCACAAATCCCTCATAATGCCAAAGCAGGGCACAGAGGACACAACAACATTCTGGAATCAGTAGGAGGAGGAGGATAGCAGCTAATGTCCCTGTCCTCACACGACAGAAGTGTGTGTGTGACCCACAGCCAAAGCAACAGAATAGTCAGGAAAGCAGGGACATGTGGCAAGAGGGACTGTAATCAGGTAACTGTCCTGTGGGCTTCCATGCTTCCCAGAAGCAGCTTCTGTAAGTCCCAAATTTCATGATGTGTGAAAACAACACCTGTTGCTCATTGTCCTGGCAGAGGGCAGACACCATGCCACCCAATTTTAAGACAGATAGCTGAGAAATCTGGGAACATCCCTGCTGCCAGAGGAAGCATGGGTACAGCAGGTGCCAAGAGAGGCACTCCACGAGCACAGAGAATGCTGGGGGGGGGGTCCTCCCCCGCTGTCCACACTGACAAAGCACAGGCAAGGCTCTCGGCCAACATCATTTTCTCATGCCCATGTGTGCCCGGAGGCCTCTCTGAGAGATGTGAATTATTTTCCAACAGGTGATCAGGCATCTTCAAAACTACAAATCCTGTGTGTTTCTCCCGCACAGGAAGAAATCAGACACTGACATGTTTCTGTGAGAAACTGAGAATGTTTCTCACAGATGACTTCCCCAGAGGCAAGCATGAAGTTACCTTGTGGTCTTGATGGTCTGCAGGCTCCCGAAGGCTAGCCAGGTCACAACACTGCAGCTGGCAGCCACTCCTGTACTCCCAAAGTCTCAAGGTACCATCCTGTGCACACACAGATGAGTTAGCATGTGGGCTCAAGAGGCCTGTCCCAGAAGCAAAAAAGGCTGTGGGAAGGGAGGGGAGTGGAAACACAGGGCATGGCTGGGTGTGGCCAGTGCCCCCACTGACATCTAGGGCTCCCTTATATCTGAGAGCTAACCAATTATGTCATGGAGCACCTAGAAAAGCCTCCGAGAAGACAGGCCAACCAAGACACACGGCCCATGGCACAGCGGACAAAGGCACCAAGATGGCCAGACTCCCCTGTTAATCCACTTACAATGCCTGCTGTGCCCGGACCAGGCAAGTGAACACCCATGCACACACAAACCATATACACAGCCATGAAGAAAGTGGCCACTCTCTAAGAGCCAGAAAGAAGCTCCCTCTAGCGGCCACCCACTGAAATACTTGGCACCCTCGCTGGGGACAAGAGGTGGTTACTGTCTTCTGCCCAGCAGTGACCACTCCAGCAAGCACAACACTTACCCCAGAGGAGGAAAGCAGCAGCTCAGGATGACTGGGCACAACCAAGATGCGGCTCACAAACCTGTGGGGAGTGGAGATAAGTCACCAGGAACACAGGAGGGAGTCCCTCACCCTGCTCAGAAAAGGAAAATCCTGCAGACCTGACCCATAGGTCTGAGAACACGGCTGGGCACTTTCGAGGCCCCAACATTACATCTGGACCAAGGGTGGCAGGGCCCAGTTCTGCTGGAGCACTGTAGGGACATGCAGCCCCACACACCTGCATCCACCCAAGATGCCTACACTCAAGGTCAGCACAGGGAGGAGGAAGAGCACACTTCAGTCAAAGCAGACCCTAAGGTCTGCTACACTCTATGTAGCCAGTCTAGTACTAGCGTCCCAAGGAACCCGCCTGAAGATCCAGCTATCTCAGCCTAGCTCCGTGGCCTCTAACTGTACAGTACAGCGACAACCACTCCGCCACCCCTACCAGAAGTGCACCTGAGCAAGCTGGCTCTCCAGGAATTTCCACACCTACCCTGCAGTCCTTCTGGCCATAAACATGTCTGGAGCACCTGCCAGGCAGCAAGACTGCTCTTGTACCAGCTCTTTATAGAGACCTCAAGGTATCATTCACAAGACCCAGGACTCGTACAATATGTTGGCCCGATGGCTCCCTTCATCCCCACCACCCTGACCCAGGCCTGTTCTGCAGCTGGTCTTTGACCAACAGTTGCCATCTCTTAGGGTGCTTAGTTCTAGTCTTAGGCCATCTAAGAGGAATAACCTGTGAGGACTCTACAGGCCCAAGTCACCCCAAGTTTTCAGCAGGTAAGTGGGAACTAGTCTCCATAAGCCTGAACAACCATCATAGAAAAGGCCACAGAAGGGTTCCTTCTTGCCAGGATAGGCTTCAAAGCTACACAGAGAAACCCTGTCTCGAAAAACCAAAAAAAAAAAAAAAAAAAAAAAAAAAAATTCCTTCCCTCTCTGGCCCTGCAGAAACCCAAAAGGCTAATAGGACCAGTTCTTACTGAAGTCACAGTATTCAAGTGACAGATTCCTGCAGAGGGTGGAGGAGGAGCTTTCCCCCTCCCCCCAAGGAAGCAGGCAGCATCCAGAAGAAAGTAGGGAACAGGAGCAGAGGGCTGCCTCCCACACACCCTCCTGTCCCATGAATCAGCACGTGTCAAGATCCTGAGCCAGGAGTGTGTGCCAGCCGGGCCGAGGCTCAGAATTCATCGAGTGACCGAGACACAGTGATGAGGACATGACTGAGGGTAACAAACACTCAAGCCCTGGAGGATGGAAGCCAACTAAGCTATGGCAAGGTACAAGCTGAGTGACACCAGCCTTCTCTCCAAGGCGAACTTCTGCATCCCACTCAAGAAACCAGAGCCAGCTCAGAACTGAAGTCCTTCAGGTTCTCCACCATCTACAATAACGCCCTTTCCCTTCTGAACAGCACCCTATTCGTCAATGCCTCTCATCTAGAGCCACCTGCTAGCAGAGCTCAGGCGGAGACGAACCTGGGGACCCAGTCACTTAACTCCCAACAGCCCAAGTGGCTAAAGGACGCTCCTCAGTCTCCTGACTACTTTCAGCTGGGCTGAGGAGCAACAGCCCAGGAGGTAAGCTCAAAGCAACTGCTTCACATGGCCGACAGCCCTGCAGCTGTCACACCTGGGGGAACCACAGGCCTGGCAGGGCCTTCCGAGCCTAAGCAGCTCTTAGCTGTTGGTAGACTAGTAGGGGCTGCATGCTATCAGGGCCCTGACCCACCCTCATCCATTAGACTTCCCTGACTGAGGAGGAAACAGGATTGCACTTACTCTGTGTGTCCCAAGCAGAAAGCCTCGATGCTGTGCGGAGCAGCAGCCCAGCTGACCCGGATCTTCTCATCCCGGTCCGCAGTGAGCACAAACTGGTCATCAGGACTCACAGCCTACATCACCAGGGGTCAGTAGAAGGAGAGCCACTCACTGGATGGCCTTGCAAAGTACCACAAGAACGCTTGGATTTTGAAGGACTCTCTCGAGGAGCTGCAGTGCAGCTTGGAAGAGCAATGGGAGCTGGCAGGGGACGGAGGGAGTGTCCCCTACTGTGGAGGGTCTCCAGCTTCAATGAGAGCCAGAGCCACACTTCTATACACTGAGACCAAACTCCAATGCCACCCAGGCATACCTGCTGCACTCCCCCCATCCTCCACTGTACAGCGGCAGCCAAGCCAAGCTAGGCACTGCACCCAGCACACTGCACACAGCCCTTGATCTTACCCCACCTCAGTCTGTCCCATTCTACAGACTGGAAGCTAGGGCCCTGGCTGAATCCTAGGAAGGGAAAAGTGGACCCCACTTCACCTGCCAATGCTATTCTACAGTCTGCTGCTCTGGAAGAGCCCCGTGTTTCCTCTCTCTCTGTCCCTGCCCCCACTTTGCCCCCTCTTAAGCCCTGGCTGAGCAGACAGTGTTGTGTGTCCCCCACATACCACATCTAGCAGCATGGAGAGGTGCCCAAGTTCCAACTTGCCACATCCATCAGGCTCCAGCACCGAGAAGGAGTAGACATCTCCAGATTTGTCCGCCACCAAGACCTGATCTTCTGAGGCTGTGAAAACCAGGGCAGTGCACCTCCGCACCACAGTCCTGCAGAACCAGAGAGCTGAGCTGGTTAGTGTCCCAAGTCCACACAGGCCCTCCAGCCAGAGAGACAGTCCCCGACTTAAAATAGTTAGACGTAAAATACTCTGACTTTACCATAGCACAAAGGTGTATCCCTACACCCAGCTCTCACTTTTAGTAATCACCGACTCCAAGTAACCAACCAAACTGTGTAAGGCCTTCTCTTACATAGCTTTGCTCAGCTGTGATTCTGATCACATTTCAAAGATGAGGCTAGTCTCAGATGCTCCACTCTGGGGTGGTCAATGCATTTATCTAAGATTTCATTTTATTGGGGGAGGGAGGAAGAGGGAAAGGGATTGATATGTGAAATTATAATTTTTGTAAAAATTAAATAGATTTCATTTTATTATTATGTGTATGAATTTTTTTACTTGCATGTATGTCTGTGCACATACATTCGTGGTGCCTGCAAAGGCCAGAAGAGGGCGTCAGATCTCCTGTTACTAGAGTAACAGACTGTTGTGAGTCACCATGTGGGTTCTGAGAATCAAACCCAGGTCCTCTGGAACAGCAGCCAGTGCTCTTAACCCACCGAGCCATCACTCCAGATCCTAGTCAATGCATTTTTAACCTAAAAGTAACTCTAATTCAGGAAGAGCTGGCACAACCTGTTCCAGGTTGGAAGCACCTATTGTACGTGCAGAATCAGTATCTTGCACTGCAGAAGGTGGTGCCACAAACATAAAGCAGCACAAAGGAACCGAAAGAAAGCCAATGCTTTTAACCTATTAAACTATACTATAATCCTCCCTCAGGAAAAAAACATAAAAACAAAAAGACAGACACAGAGACATGGTGGAACACAACTTTTTTTTTGTTGGTTTTTTTGAGGCAGGGTTTCTCTGTGGCTTTAGAGGCTGTCCTGGAACTAGCTCTTGTAGACCAGGCTGGTCTCGAACTCACAGAGATCCACCTGAGTGGCGCACACCTTTAATCCTAGCACTCTGGAGGCAGAAGCAGGTAGATCTCTAAGTTTGAGGTTAGTGAGTTTCAGGACAGCCAGGGCTACACAGAAAAACTGTCTCAAAAACAAAACTAAACTGTAAAAGTAAAAAGACAGGCAGGCATGATGACACACATTGTAATCCCAGCACCCAGGAGGCTGAGGAAGGAGGACTGAAGTTCCAGGCCTGGTCTTGTGAGTACTTAATAGAAAACACCCCAGTTTTATTGTACATTTGAAAGGCCCATGATAAAATGCTGAGGAAATCGGCCCTTCCCCAGAACCTTTGTTGCTCAGATGAAGGAGACAAGGGCCAGCTATACTACAAAGCATATGCTCTCTAGAGTCCAGTCTTTGAGTCTTCCCAGCCAGCAGCACCATCTGGCTCTACCTGACCCATCCCACCACCTGTGACTCTGCTGCTAGGCCTGTGCCTAGAGGCAGGAAGCTCCCAAGTACCATCAGACTGTCGCTCCCCTCATACCCAGAAGAATGTGGGCCACAGGCAATACAGGGTAGCCATGGGCCAACCTGCATCCCAGGTAGAAGGTACAGGGACAGCATGGCAGACACCTAGACTACCGAAGTCTGTCAAATTCAACTGATTCACAGCAATCCTTGGCCCAGGTCCCACAGTAAATGCCATCTGTAAGCTGATTCAGTTAAGTGGCAGTGGTTAGTTTCCTCCTCTCCCATACCAGGAGAGGGCACCCAAACCCCCACCCCATAACTGTATACCATATCCTTCTGCACCCGCCACTTACTCTCTAGGACACACACCCTAACACTCTGCAGTGCCAGGACCCTCATCACAGCAGCCCTGCTCTCCCGAGCCACTGCTGGGGCAGAACAGCACCAACACACGCACAGCAGAAGGTTGGCCATATGTGGGTCTGAAACAGAACCTGAAACATGAGGGCAGTGCTCCACATAGACAAGAAGAAAGGGAAGATGTGGCTGCACCCTGCTCCTCCTCTCAGCAGTGCAGCTGCACAGTGGCTGCTCCAGAGGGGAGCAATGGAGAACAAGACAAAGGCAATTAGGCTCTGGGGCCAATGACTCAAAACAAATGGCCTGAGCCGCCTGGCAGCTGAGACTGTGCTAATGAACTCAATGAGCAACTGTGCCAAGCACAAGCTCTGCCCAGCGGTCAAGACAAACCACCAACAAACCACGAGGACTCCAGGATCCTAAAATCCCTGAACCAGATTCCTGTATGAGTCTTCCCATGCCCATGGCTGCTACTCAGCTCCAGGCAGGAATGTCCATGCTGTTAACACCAGCCTGGGACTGTACCATAGAGGCAGCTCTGGGAAGGTGTGAGATGTGGGTAGCAATTTTGGAATCAGGGCCCATGTCAGGTCACCAGACCGGACAGTGTGCAGGGCAGGTCACTCCAGGAACTGAGGCAGTAGCCCCACTGACCCCCACAGAACATGAGCACTCTCCTCTCTGGTGGGTTCCAGAGAAGGGGGAACAAGCTGGTCTCTGCCAAAGCATCTCACTGCTGAACCTGGAAGCTCCCATTTACATAGGTCACTGTCCCAAGCCAGCCTTCAGAGCCACACTGCTCAGGTCCTGCCAGGGATCAAGGGTCCCACAGCTGTCTGGCGGAAGCTCTACCAAATTCACATCCCTGGCAGGCAGCCTACAGCAGAGCAGACTCAGCCACTCTCTGTGAGCTGCTACTGCTTTCTGCAGAACACTTTCCGGAACAGTGCGACTTCACATTCAAGATTTCTCATTCATAACACCACACGTCAAAGCTAAAAGGTGCCATCTGTCCCTTCGCAGTTAGCTGGCAACCATGACCTCCAGCACAAAAGGCCAATAAGGACCCGGTAACCCACCCAAGTGGTGGTTTCTGTGGCCCTACTACTCTGAACTACATCTGAAAAGGATTCAGGGCCATCCACATTAATTCTTCCACATTAAGACTGGAGGCAGAGGCAGGCGATCTATGAGTTTGATGCCAGCCTCGTCTACAGATAAGTTCCAGGACAGCCAGAGCTACACAGAGAAACCCTGTTCAAAAAAAAAAAAAAAAAAAAAAAAAAAAAGGAGGGCAGCAGCTGGACAGTCTCCAAGCTGGTCTCAGCCAGGGAGTCCCAGAGAAGCCTGGGGTCCCAGTGGTATGTGATATACACAAAGTCCAATACAGGCAACTGCTGGAACCAGGTTGCATGTCACAGGTATAAAAGGTGGTGTTCCTCAAGGGAGCAGGTGCATCAGATCCCAAGATCTCTGTCCACAAAGTAAAAAAACCACCAGACCGTGGAGTGTGGCAGCCTCCAGTGTGAAGGGGAGTGAGCAACCCCCACTCCCACATACCTCCTGCCACCCTGGACATACCAACCTCCCCTACTCTCTTACCCCACAAACCCTGCTGTCAGACCTCCCACCAGACAGAAAAAGTAAGGACTTTACCTTGCCCCACTAACTGCATGAACTCAAATTCCAAAGGCAGTGTGCAGAATGGATAGAGATCTTTCTATCAGAATTAAAGATCTGAGAATACTGCATGAGAAAACACATGCAAACATGGAAAACAGTTCTGCTATTAGAGACACTGGCTGCTCATGCAAAGGACCTGGGTTCCCAGCATCCACATGGTAGCCCACAACCATTTCTAACTCCAGTTCCAATGGGTCTAACTTTCTCTTTTGGCCTCTTCAGGTACCACTCACATACTCATTGTTCAGACAGACAAGCAGACACACACACATACAGGTAAAAATAAAAACAGCATTTTCAAAAAGATTCTTACACAGGCTGGAGATGAGATCTAATGCCTTACACATGCCAGTGAGGCACACACTAGCCCTAAGAGACATTTTTAAAGCAGGATAACATTACTGTGAGCCCAACCAGTGGAGCTCTATACAGCACAGCAGCTCTCAGAACCTGCACTTCCAGATGCTACCTTCTAAGCCATAGATAGCATTCTTCCACACACCTTTATCCTTGAAGGCACCAGAGTCTCCTTGTCATGTCCCCTAGCTGTGCTGTTGGCCTGATGCAGGATCTAAAGGGAAGGTCAGAGAGCTCTCCAAGCTTACATCTCCTGCTCCACGTGCAGTCCACACAGCCCAGAAGCACTATAACCAAGTAAGCTTATCTGAATGGATCGCACACTGGGGGCCAGCAGTGGAACACATGCTGAGCACCAGGCTCTAGTCACAGCACCTAACAAACACATGGCAGACCATCCCAACCAAGGCTGGCACATTAGAACCTGTGCTGTCATGGTGATCAGGTGATTCTCATGCCTACATCTGTACAACCAGAGCCTTTACTCTACAGGAGAGTCACCATCACATTCTTTTAAAAATCTTATGTGCATATGTGTGGGTTCCTGTGTGTGAATATAAGCATGTGTGTGCCACAGCACACATGTGAAGGTCAGAGGACAAGCTCTGGTAGCACTCCTGGCCTTCTTCACTTTGTTTGAACAGGATCTCCTATTGTTTGCCACTGTGTATACCAGGTTGGCTTGCTGGAGGGCTGTGATTACAGATGCATGCCCTCTATGTCAGCCTTAAGTGGGTTCCAGGATAAAGACACTTGCTGCCAAGCCAGATGACCTGACTTCTAACCCAGGATCCCATGGTAGAAGGACAAACTACCCAAGTGTGTATATATGTGTGTGTGTGTACATCTGCCTACATACATACATACATACATACATACATACACATACATACATACATACATACATATATATATATGTACACACACAAATAAGTAAATTTTAAAAAAGACAGACAACTTCCTGCTGGTGAATCATCCCTCTGTGGGAGGGCCTGAGGAAGCCTGGTCCATGAGTGTCCTTTTGTTTAATTTGTTCTGCTCTGTTTCTAAACAGTGCACATCTATTATCCATCTGAGAAGCAAAAGCACACACACACTGCCATCCTAAGATAGGCAGTGATGTAGGCTTCTATTTTTAAGCCGATGGGAAAAGGGCAGAATGGGTGTTCTTGTTTTTTGCTTGGAGGGGGGGTATTTTGGGGGGTTGGTTGGTTGGTTTTTCAAGACAGTTTCTCTGTGTAGACCTGGCTGTCCTGAACTCACTCTGTAGACCAAGCTGGTCTTGAACTCAGAGATCCACCTGCCTCTGCCTCCCAAGTGCTGGAATTAAAGGTGTGCGCCGCCGCCGCCGCCACCACCACCACCGGAATGTTCTTGCTTTTGATGCCACCTAGAATGCTGGTTTTTTACTCACCTCTTAGAAAATAGGACGAACTAAAAATCTAAATGTTCAGCTGAAGTCCCTGAATACCAATAGTTCAATCAAACACTGCTACCGCAGTTTACCTGACGGGATGAACACACAGGTCCCCTCAGGCTCCTCTGCTTGAGCACTTTATCCATAGCAATGGTGTGGCTCTGGAAGCCATGGAACCTTTAAGAGAGGGCCTAGCTGGCAAACATAAGGCCCCAGGGCAGACCTCGAGAGACTATCCATCCCTGCTTTCCGAATCCTAACATACCAGCAGGTGAGTGAACAACACTATGAACTCTGCCCACATGCCTTCCCTGTCCCAATCAACACACCCCTGACATTACCAGCACCATGCCTGTCATGACGGCACATCCCCGAAAAGCCAGCCAGAATAAACCCTCCTTCCTTAAGTTGCTTCTGTTGGGGAATCTGAAACAGCAACTAGAAAACTGATGGATAAAATCAAGCACAGCTCCACTAGCAGCTGGGTCGAGGGGAGCGTGGGAGAGGGGTTTTGGGGGCCACAGGAAAAGTAAGGCCCGGCTGACTTCACTCCATGTGCTACTGCCGCAGAAGACTCGGGCTCAGGAACCCCAAAGCATCTGTATTACAAGGTTGTTCGAGCCAACAAAATGCAATCCTGTCCACAGTGACACCCACCTCCACTCTCGAGGACAAGGTGGCACTGAGAAAAACAGCATCTCCAGAAACACAGATTCACAGCCGCCTCCTCAACATCACCACCGTAACTTCCCCCATAACCACAGGCCCATTTCTCTCCCTGAACCTTGCCTTCAGAAATGACAGTTACAGTTTGAGAGGAAGAGTAAGTGATGCAGCGTATTTATGTACCTATTGGGAGAAATGACTAGAATACCCACCTGCAGTCCTGCCCAGTTGTCTCACCCTACACCTACCTCGTCTTTTATCTTCTCCTCAGACACAAAAGGATGTAGCCCACCACCTAGCTTACAAATGTGCAACAGCCACTGCCACTTATCCAAAGCCCTGGCATCTTGAGTGTGAGCTAACAGTCCTAATCCTGTCAGGTATATGAGGCCACAGCAACGGGGAATGCAGGAAGACATATGGCATACAGGGTACTGACACTGCAGCCAGAGGAGCAGCTACACAGCCTGGCTCTGCCTTTCCCAGCTCCATGTCCTGAAACGGCTACTTAACCCTACGCCACCCCATGTGGAGGAGCAGGGCCAGGCCACCCTCCCGTGCTATTAGGATTCAGTCAGTTAGTGCATGTACAGCTCTGAAATCAGTGTCTCACACATAGCTGGCACTTCATGTTAGCTGCTATTACAATGGTCCCTGTCACCACTGCTGATGTATGACATGCAAGGACAAGGAGTGCATAGGACATCTTAATGACTCAATGTTAGCATTTCATACCTGACACTCAGACATTGCCATGGTTTTGTACGGAAAAGAATCAGACGCTTACTGTCATCAGTTAAAGCAAAATAGCTGCCAGACTTGGAGAAGGTGGACGCCAGAATCGTGTCACTCCCCTTGTCGATGGGCTGTCCGTCCTCCCTGAAGAAGGGCAGAGGAAGAAAGGAAAACAGTTAGGCCTCACCTGAGTTGCCAAGCTTGTCCATTCTAACACAGGGAAGGCAGAAGACGCTTGGTCAAGCAGGTCATGTAGCCAAAGCATAGTGACGAAACTTAAGGGGAAGTTCAGAGAACAGCTCTGATTTTACAAGCGTGAAACCTAAACCAACAGGAGCCCTCTGCAAACACACTAACATCCAGTGTGCGCTGGAAGCACTCTCAGCAATCACATGGCCTAACCCTCCTAGATATGGACTAATCCAAGGCTAGAAGCAGGGACCAATAATATCGCTAACAAACTGAGTCACAAGACCAAGCTACCACTCAAAACAATCACACACTGCTGTGTCCCTTTCAATTAGTTAATTCCCCACACCTGCTCTCAATGCATTTGATATGCTCCTTATTAATTTAAGGGACCAGTGACAAAAAATGGTTACTAAGGACACTAAAAGTATTTGGGAAGGCCCTTAAAATTATTTCCATGTTTCTTTCTGAGATGGAACTTAGCCTCGCCCCACAACTAGAAATTCCTGCCTCGGCTTACTGGTCTCACCATTCAAACCACAAGTGAGCACGATTCCCCACCATCTCACCCTTTATCTCCTGGCACTGACTTTTTCTCCGCAGCACTGCAGTCGTATGTGAAGACGCAGTCATCGTCACTATAGGGAAGAAACCAGAATGAGAGCTTATCAACACACAGAACTGCTTCTTGTCACTCTAGGACATTTCATCATCATTGAATTGGGGCCTTCTCCAGGACAGAAGAGCCAAGAATTGTCATCTGCTTAACCCCCTAATAGGCTGTATCATGAACAGCCAGCATGTTTCTGTTCTAAATCAGTTCCACCTGGCACAGTGGGGCACACCTGGAATCAGTGGACTCTTCCAGGCACCAAACTGTTGATTCTAAGAGATTATATTCTGATGTTATTTTTTTTAAGATTTATTTATTATGTACACAACAATCTGCCCCCATATATGCCTGCACATCAGAAGAGGGCACCAGATCTCATTATAGATGGCTGTGAGCCACCTTGTGGTTGCTGGGAATTGAACTCGGGACCTCTGGAAGAGTAATCAGTGCTCTTAACCACTGAGGCATCTCTCCAGCCCATGTTCTGATGTTATTTTCAACTGAGCTCTGCTCGCAAATTTAAAACAGTCGAGGCTGTCCTTACATGGTTCAGAAGCATGTCTCACCTGCTGGGGAGAAAGCCCCCACAAGCCTCAGGCACCTACTCATATAGGAATCGCCCACTCTCCCTATTAGAACCTAAGCTCCCTTGGGTGCTCTGGCCCGGTTTAAAGCACCTTGTACTATTGACAGCCGCACCAAAGACTTTTCCAATTAAACACTGAGCTGCAGAAAGAAAAGTCATTTTCCAAGTCTGAAACCTTGCTGGCCAATAGCAGTCCCTCGACGACACAAACTGAGGAACATTCCTAATCTTCAAATGTCAGAGTACGGAAACTAAATGGGAAAAGGAAAAGAAGCCAAAACGGACTGCCACTAAGTCCTTCGGTTCCTGGGTCACTACTTGCTCCACCATTCACTTGAGTCAAGCATCCCTTGACCCACCACTACGGGAATAACGTAAAGCAAAACCACTATTGGGAAGGACTAAGAGGGAGATGCCCGCTTCAGGCTCTGCGTGCATCCTGGGACTGGGAGGTGTCGGGGTATAAACCTAAAAACCCCGCACAGCAGCTAGAGCCGGGTTGCTGGACACAGACAAGGGGCGGGAAGCACGCCTGTGCTCGGTGAGAGCCAGCAGAGTTCGCAATACACCAGGCTCACCAGTGAGGTTCCGGGCAGGTCAGTCTGGAGCACCCAGACCCCAAGTCTGGCCTCCGCGACACGCACGTGACTCGGCCCTCCCCACGACGCGCAGGCGCCGCAAAGTCCGGAAGTGCCCGGACTCCACCCCAACGGAGCGTGCGCCCCAGACCCGCCGTGCAGGTCGTGGGGACTCCGAGGTCGGGGAACAGGGAGGAGGAGGAGGAGGCCTCATTCGGGACAGCGGCGGGGGGGCCCCGCCACCGGCCCGGGCCTCTCACCTGCTTGTAGTGGAGATGGCCAGGAACCTGCTGCCGCCCCGCCCCACGAGCGTTTGGCCGCACAGCGCCAGCCCCGCGGAGCTCGCCATGGGCCCGCCCGCGGCCTCCGCACACGTGCGACGCACCGCGCCCTCCCTGCTGGCGCCCGCCAGTGACGTCACTCAGCGCCGCGCCATGGGCGAGCCGGCTTGGAGCATGCGCACAGGGAGTGGTCGCCTTTGTTTCTGAGTACCCGAGGGTGCTGCTGCTCCAGAGCTGGGTCCTCCCCATGCACCTTTCCTATTGACTGGCTTTCTGGTCCGTCAGGTTCGGTGCTTCTAAGTTCTAGGGCTTCCTCTTGGACGGAGCCTGGTACCCAGAGGGTGCCGGTAAAAAGCTGCCGAATGGCGTCAGTGCTGGATGGCCAGGCCCAGTCTGTCTCAATTCAGGCAAGGCCGCTGGAACTGTGCTACGCACCCTCTTCGTGTACGACAAAGTCGCCTCGATCCCCCCTGTCTAAACGTGTTTAATGGTGTGCCTCCCCAGGTCCACAAAAGACTCGTCCCGTCCCAGTGGCTCTAAAAGGCCCAGAATGCGGTGCTATCTTACTGGTTGGATGTGGGCCCCCGAGGCAGCTCCTAAAAAGATGGTTTATCGACCCCCATCACATCCTAGTCTGTGACTCGCAGCAAAATCAGTCACTAATGCTGTGTAGAATTGCCGTCTTAACGCTGTGCGGATCCCCGAGCGAGTCCATTTTATAAAGCTCCATTTTTCCCTCAGACAGAGTGACTCTTCATTTTACTTGTGCAAGTAAACACTCACCAACTCTAATGCAGAGCAGAGACTGATAAAAATCACTTGTGCAAATTAAATCACCACCTACAAACTAAATAAGTTAAATCAGGGGTGAATCAAAATCCTGAGCTTATCAAACACCAATAAATAATGCAAGCCCTTTGTCTGGGCCCTAAAGAGAAAGTTGTACCTAATGCTAAGGTACCACAGAACACACCTGTCAAAAAAACAAAAACCCACCTGTCATCAAGCCCTTCTGCACAGTGCTGACAATGTGGAAAGGCACAAGCATGTCCATTTATGTAACAGCTTACTCAAAACCTAACATGTGACTCGGGGGAGGGACCCACACATGACAGGATCTTTGGTCGATCACAATTCTGAAGCTCACTGGGCAGAGTTTTTAGTATCCATTGGAGCAGGTTATGCCTTGACTGGGCCTGAGATCTACCCTCTTAGGTGCCTCTCCTTTTCCAGAACTTTCTTGGCTACTTTGATGAAAGAGCCCTTTGAGTGACTTTCCCCCTTCCTGCCCTTGGGAAATCTGGAGCCCAGAGGCCTCTGTTCCTGTTAAACTACCCATTTTATCTTGCACCCGTTGGTGGTGCTTAAGTCCAGGTTCCTGGAAGGTTATTCAGTATTAATGCCCCCCCAAAAAATAGGTGGGCTCCAATTTAAACATAGCTGGGAAGTTACTGGCAATTGATGGCTTCTGGAAGTGAGGGGGTGGTCAACTTTCTTCAAGAATATGGCTCTGAGAAGTCATATGACCCATAATCTAGTAGATGGTTCCATACCCATGTGTACTAGCAGCAATGAGTGAATCACGAGCACACACACAAATAACAAATTTGGCTTCCTCCGGGTTCCTGTTATGTGCTGTTGCCAAATTTCAAATCCCTGAGCAAATGCTACCCAGAAATAATCACTCTGGCAGCAGGTTCAGTTTTTGTTGTTTTGTTTGTTGTTGTTTTGGGGGCTTTTGTTTGTTTGTTTGTGTTGGTTTTTCGAGACAGGGTTTCTCTGTGGCTTTGGAGGCTGTCCTGGAATCCACTCTGTAGACTAGGCTGGCCTCAAACTCACAGAGATCTGCCTGCCTCTGCCTCCAGAGTGCTGGGATTGAAGGCGGACAAGACCATGCTTGCTGCCCCAAAAGCCATTGGCTAAACAGATCAAAATCCTGTAACACACCACCACCTGGCCAGGTTCAGTTTTAGAATTTACTAGGCAATTCACTTTGCCTCTGTGTCTCCCCCTCCGCCCTCTTTCTTCTTCCTCCTACACCTCCTCTCCCCCTCCCCCCTCACTGCTAACTACTTAGGTTTCTTCCCCCCACTTTCAAATAATTGCTACAATTAAATTGTCAAATTCCCCCCTGGACCCTGCTGGGATACTAATTAGGAAATAATTGAATGTATTAAACTGTTTGGAAGAAAATTAGCATGTTTAAAAAAAAGAAAAGAAAATTAGCATGTTTATAGTGTGTAGAAACACCTTTTCTCTTCCTCTAATAGCTTCTCTTATAGTATTATCTGACATTATCCTTTAAAGGCATAGACGAAATATTTAAATATACCCTTACCAAAATATATGGGGTTTTGCTCACATAATGAGATCTTTTAAAATTATATTTGGTATTTGTTCCTGCTGTCTAGAGATGCAGTTTGTATTTTTGCAAATTGCTCTTTCACCCAGCAGTTTTTCTGATTCTCACCATGTTTCTCACTATCTCATGGGACTTGCTAGCAGACATTGCCAGCTGTCCTGGAATGTAGCCATCTGCCCTTGCAGAGGGAGGGGCCATTGCAGGCTACCTAGGTCTTCAGGTCAGCTCTGTGCTGTTGTGGCCCGGCCTTTCTCAGCCCCAAACCACAGAAGTCACGAGGTCCGGCCTGAGTGGGGGAGCATGGACTTGGAAATTCCTAGTAACCCAATGGTGATAAAGACCAGACACAGGCATCTTGTCATCTTTGGAGAGCTCTCAGTTCCATGCTGCGAACTGCCATTTATTCTAGGATTTTCCTCAACTGCTTTCTAACCATTATCCAGTGATAGCAGTGTTAGACCCCCAAAAACTCAAGTATCCAGGGTCCCAGGCCACGTTCTCGGTCACCCCAATCACCAGGCGGATTCGAGAGCTTGCTGCAAACTGCACGAGGCTTTATTGTAATTTAACGAGCTAACCCCATGTTA